GATCTAGTCTAGTCTGTCTATCTCCCTATCTATCTATAGGTAGATAACAAAACTTGAAAACGACGCACTGGGATTTGAACAGTACAGTGATAGTATTTGGATAAGTAACTATGGAGATTTATCATGTTATTTTCCAACATTTTTTATAATGTGCAATTATAATTTTTTATGTTTTCATAATGCACAATTATAATTTTAAAGTCTAAGTTAAAATGCAATCATTTAAAAGCTAAGAAATGATTATGTCTTATTTTCTTTATCATTATCCTTGAACTAAGCCCTCTCAAAGAATTTGCTTCTTTTTGGATGAGTAGGAAGTCAGGTCCACTGTATTACATTAAACAGTTTTGACTTTATATCTAGTTGAATTTATTGTTGTTCCTATTACACTTCTCTCTAAGCAATCACTGCTTTGACAAGATGACCTCGCTAACATTTTAAAGCAGCCAGAGGGATGATTTGCTTTCAGGCTTCTAGGGCATTTCAGGCATCTACACACAAGTATTGACATATCCTGGCCTGGGAGCCTGGGCCCTTTATTCCTCAGGCTTTAGGACTCCTTGATCTCAGCATGGAAGCAGTTCTTTGGATAGAAACTTCACATTGATTTTCTGAAAAATCAATAAAGTCATTTAACTTGCTCTTCTGTCATTCATGATTATTCTCTGTTCATTAGAGAAGAGTTTCTTTTCACCTTGACTTTAGCACTACATCCCCACTCCTAAAATGGGCTAGCAAGGACTAGGGAGGACTGGCTAATAGCCAGAGCACTTTATAGAGATTTAAAAAGCTGACATCCTAGGGATATTATTGAAGCTCTCTGGGTCTTGATGTTTTCCTCCATAAAACAAGATGACTGGATGATCACGGGGGTTCTTTCTGGTTCAGATATTTCACATGTGCAGTTTGGACTATGACTCCTGCCACTTCTATTTATAATGATCATTACCATAAATATTATTCTTATAACCATCATTTATTGAGCATTTACTTTCTGTAAGACACTATACTAAGCACTTTATATAAATCATCACATTTACTCCTTAAAACAACCCATTAAAATAGTTTACTTTATTTCCCCCAACTTTAGACATGAGGAAGCTGAAACCTACATATGTTAAATATCTTGCTCAAGGTCATACAGCTAGTATAAGTCAGAATCAAGTATTGGACTTAGGTTTGTCTAATTCCAGAAATGATATTCTTAACCACAACACAATATAGAGGTGTCTATTCAGAATGAAATATGAACAAAGAGTTCACTGAAGACAGGTGTTCCTTGAGAGTTCACTTTCAGAGAACAAAAATATTAAAAATCTTGACCATTTTAAAATGCTTTCAATGTAAAAAATTCATCTTAGATGATTATTTCTCCTGTAGTTTGAACTAAGCTGTTACGTGCATTTTGATGGAGAGGTTTGCTACTTACAGTTGCATATTCAAAATTACCTCTATTTCAAGTGGTTCTCTTTAATCAGAATTTGAATTGTATCAATATGTATCTATCAAATAGTCTTTGTATTGCTTTTGTTAGCATTAAGCCTTGATTTTTCTAAAAGAGTTAATACTAGCACTAAATGATTTACATTTCAAATCAAGGAGTATCATGACTGATGTGCCCACAGAAATAATTAGTTTATAGTAACATATGATTTTATAAGTAAGCACTAAGAAGTGGGCCAAGATGTCAAATTCATATTACTATATGGTTACATTTAGTTCACATATCATATCCTTGGTACTTTGGGTTTTTCAAATAGAATTTCCTGTATCTTAATTTTCTTTTGAAATTTAAAAACAAATTTAATGTTGTAGAATATACATTATACTTCACCGTCATACAAAATCCTCTTTCACCAAATATTAGAAGGATTTGTAGTATTAACACGCTAGTAAAGACTGTAAAATTAAATATTTGAGATCAATGCTGTTAATTAAGGGACAGTTTCTATAACACAAATGTATAAAGTACAATGTTTCTCATCTTTTTAGCTTGGCTCATCAGAGTTGCATGGTTGGTTGTGGTGGTTTTTGGAGTTTGTGATGGGTTTATTACACTTAATGAGTATGGTTGCTCCACTATGGCTGACATTTTAATATTAGACTTCCAGCAGTGAATTCTTGTCAAAGATGTGTTTGAGATCACCAGGCTTTCCATGATTAGAGCTTTTGGTACATAATGTCAAGTACATTCATCAGTTAAATGAATTAATGGTAAATGAGCATCCTAACAGTAGCACAGGCACAAGAAGAAATGCCATCACAGAAAAAAACCTTGGGATTTGGAATACTTTTTCGGCTCTTTTAATCATTAGCTCTTATTTGCCCAATGTCTCTCTTACGAACTTTAGAAAGCTTAGATTCAAGAGGAGATTTGTGGACATGATTCAAATAAAATTATAAATATTTTAACAATAAGATATACCAGTCTATAAGATTTCAGTATTGAGAAAAAAAAAAATAAGGCTGCATACTGTTTTTGAAAGAATCTATAAAAATAATCAAATTGTCCTTTTAAAGGAAATGGGGCTAATTAAATACATTTTACTGAGAAGGAATTTAAAGCATGTAAAGACTGAGTAAAACCCCAAATCTATCAATTGAGTCGATCAAACACATAGTCTTTTTAAGTAACAATTTGAACCTTAAGCCATAATCACATTGTAAATCACAGGGAGAAAAGGGGCTGGGATCTCAAATTCAGTACCCCACTGTGTGGTTAGGAATGGCATTTTCCCCTGCTTCTGTTGATACAATACACATATTAAGTCACTGACATGTGTAAATTTAAGTTGATTTTCTAAATATTTTTTATTCTCGTTTTATACTATTTTATAGTATATGTAACTAATAATATTTTAAAGGGAATATTTAGATGAAAGAGACATTTTTCAGGCAATCCAGTGAATTGATAACATGACAATTTTCTCTTCATTGATTTTAGATCAGTTGACAATATTCTCCTTCAAATGATCAATTACTATAAAGTTATACATAATTTACATTAAATAGGGAAAGCTATAAATTGTGTCATTAATGGAAGAACTTTCTAGGATTCTTCCATTAAAAGCTAGAGAAGCATTCTTTAAGCATAGGAGGGAATAGCTGTGAGAATATTTAAATATACAATAAAACTGGATAATGAGGAAACAGGTGCACGGTTAACATGGTATTCAGGATGGTGGTTACCACAGGTTGAGAGAGTTAAGGGAATTGGTTGGCAGAGAACCAGGTGACTATATTTAAGATATTTTCAAGGTTCTGTCTTTTGTATTGGGTGGCTGGGTCATGGGTATATGTTGCATTATTAATATTTTAATACATTCAATAAATGAATGGCTCAATGAATTAAAAAAGAAAGCCATACATAGATCAGTGATTAGAAACATATCATAAACTAAGGATTAAGATTAATCTAATACTGGTACACCTGATGTCAAAAAAGATAAAATTAAATTTAAAAAATGCATTACCCAGAATTTTTTCTATTTACAAATAATATGTTAGGTAATGCATTTTTAAATCCACAAGAAAGCACCCATGTTCCCTTAATTATGTAGCATTTTATTCTGAATTCAAGTTTTCCATTTAAAGATACGACATCATGTAAAATATGTTATCTAACTTATTTTAAGTCAGAAATGTAAACATACCTCTCGCTCTTGCTCTTGCTCTTACTCTGTATCTCACTCGCACTTGAAAGTTCATGCAAACACACACACACACACACAAATGCACATCTTTCCAATTACAGGATGAAATATTATTATTAAGAATTCTGATTAATCAGATTTGTGTTTGAGCCTTGTTTGGTTTTTGCTTTCTTAAATATAAAAATTCATTCCTGCCTTAATAAGTACAGCACATTTAAAACACTTGAAATTTTCCTTGCCTATTAACAAAATTGTAGTACTAAATGCAACATTTCTTATTGTATATGCCATCCACCTCTAATTATCTGAAAAATAAAAAGTAGCTCACCAAAAATTTTCAAACACGTTAAGAAAAAAAATAATTAAAATAACAAAGAAGTAAAGAAAAAAATAACGTAAAACCAAAAAAGCAAACGTGTACCTGCACACACACACATCCCTCCTGGCCAATAGATAGGTAGATGAAAATTTGCTCTCAGTAGTTGTAGGAATTCCCATCTGAATTTGGAATATGTCCTGAGATTTCTTTTTGTATCTCCCCATTCTTTCAGCCCCTGACCCCTACCTACCAGGTGCTAGGGGTGCAGAGACAAATGGGTTGCATTCCCTGCCCTGGACCAGATAGGCAGGTCAGCAGATAATTAGGATGCAATATGGTGGTCATTGCCCAGCTCAAGAGAGAAGAAGGGAAATAATTCTGCACAATGAAAGTAAGAATGGAAAGGAGAAGTTAGGGAAAGTTCCATGGAGGACATGGAATTGGAAAAGGAGTTAACATATAAATAGAAATGTGCCCAAGCAAGAGAGACATAATGGGGTAGACAATAATGAGCCTCACAACGCAATTCCAACACAGAATGTATAAGGAAAACAAAGGAGAATCTGGAGCTGGATAGAGATGGGCCTCAAACGTCATGGTAAAAATGATGGAAAAGAACTGTCCTTTAGAAAAGCAAAGTCAGCTACAATGTGAGGGACTAATTAGAATGAGGAGAGACTGGAGATGGGGAAACAGAGTGCAAATCTGTTGCAATATACAGGTAAGACATGATGAGCCCTCAAGTACTGCAGCCATAAAGGGATTGGTGACTTCAGGGGGCAGAGGAAGAAAAAAGATTTGACATTAGAATAGCACTCTTGCCTGCTCCCTAGCAGCTAGTCTGAGCCAGGCTCTCTGCAAATAAGTTTTGAATTATTCCATGAGTCTAAGGTTTTCCCCTCTATTTTATAGTCCTGATAACTATTTGCTTTATTATCATTTTTAACTAAATTTTCTTCCATAAAAATCACTTCTGTGAGTGTTAGGTCTAGTTGGGTTCTGCTAATAAAAATTGACTGTTTGCATAGTAAACAGATGTGTAAACATAATAAACATTTGCATAATGTTGCATAGTAAATGTAAATTCCATTTATCACAATTATTTGTCTCTCTAAAAAATATAAGGCCATATAGTGTAGTAATTTTATTGACCACATATAGCATGAGGGAAAAAAAAAGACACATTCATGCAATCTAGAAAAATGGAAAATCTAGCTCCATGTGGATTATATCATAGACCTGGAAATCCTTTGTGTTGGCTGTTAGTGGTACTCATGAGTCTTAAAACTTGAGTCAGCAGTTATGGCTGGTGTGTATGTAAAAGAATAAAGCAGTGAGTTACAGTTAGGAGCCATAAGAATTTAAAACACTTTCCTCCCTTGATTTTAATAATTTTCTTTGTAGGTCCATTTTGGGAATGTTTACATGCTAAACACAAAAATAATGTGGCAGCTTTCAAGTTTCTTTCTGTGACTCCATAAAACCACTAATACTGAGGAAAAAAAGACAACCTTGAGTAATTGTGGAAGGTTTACAGGGACAGATGCCTGAAGTAGTTCTACTGCTGGTGGGAGAGGTCTGTGGTCTATTGAGTTTTATCTCTATGGTTCCATGATATGGACTATGATTGTAGAAAAAAAAAAACAACTTTGTGCTGGGGGTAAATTCTCACCTGTCACCAGCTACCTGAAGTATAGATGATGTATTTTATTGGAATAAAAAGGATAGCTCTGGAAGCTGAGCTGTCTCTATAGAAATTGGCATGGGGGTATGGAGGTTGTGAATGTCTTCAGGAGGTGGAGAAAAATGTGAATAGAGACATCCAAGGTCAACAAATCTCTATTTAAACCTAAAAGGAGCTGAAATGGGCATTTTGGAAAATAATAAATAAATAAAAGATCAAGAAGATGAAAAGATTACCCGTACGCTGAAGTGTTCACAGTTCCAAGTTGCACTTTAAGATGTCTGAGAAGGAAAAAACAAAAATCAATGTTTGCTATGCCATGCCGATACACAAACCTTTCACCTCTGGGAAAACTATGTGTTTGAAGCCAAACCAATTTTGTTAGTTTTACCCTTTAATCCCCAGGTCACAAACAACTCAACATTTTTACCTGACTTGCAATGTTCATGCCAAGAAGCAAAGAACTTTAGAGTTCATTACAACAGCAGTGGGCCGCAGCGTGGGAGATAACATATACTGAGAAAAAGGTTCTTTCATGTCAGTGGTTACATTCGTTTCCTCTCTCACTCTTTCCCTCCCTTCTTTCTTTCCCTCCCTCCTTCCTTCCTTTCTTCCCTTCCTTCCTTCTTATTCTTTTTTCTTTTTATTATAGCCAAAAAAAAAAAAAAAAAGTTGGCCGGGTGCAGTGGCTCACGCCTGTAATCCTAGTACTCTGGGAGGCCGAGGCGGGCGGATTGTTTGAGCTCAGGAGTTCGAAACCAGCCTGAGCAAGAGCGAGACCCTGTCTCTACTAAAAATAGAGAGAAATTAATCAGACAACTGAAAATACATAGAAAAAATTAGCTGGGCATGGTGGCACATGCCTGTAGTCCCAGCTACTCGGGAGGCTGAGACAGGAGGATCGCTTGAGCCCAGGAGTTTGAGGTTGCTGTGAGCTAGGCTGACGCCACGGCACTCTAGCCCGGGCAAAAGAGTGAGACTGTGTCTCAAAAAAAAAAAGTTAAATCTAGTTGGAAAGATGAAGCTACACTGAAAGATTGGCTCCAACAGAGCCAGGTAGGCAGCAATAAGGTGCTCAAAGGCCTTCCTACATCCTCCTTTCCATCTGCTGCTTGCTGAAGGAGGGTCTGGCCAGAGCAGCAATGAAACACCAGTGGGCTGCGTGGCCAAGGAACGAAACCAAACCTTAGAGATATACTGACGTACTGCTGGGTCTCCCCCATCCCACCTCGTCCTGTTTAGCATTCTTCATTTGGTGGACTTGATTGTTAATTCCTACCAGTCATCTTGGTCTATAGGAGAATTGTTTTTCTTCCCAGAGAAAGACAGAAGAAAATATTTAAAGGGAGCACTTTGAGATACCCTGGATTTACTGCAAGTGAACATCTTATGCCTCTGGTGTGTTTTCCAGGTCTGTGGTGTAAGGCCGAGATGCCAAGAGCATTGCCTAAAGTTACCTCTTTGCAGAATTTCACAGACTGACCACAATAAATGGGTTGAATTCCTTAAGTAAAATCTCCAAAGCACTTCATAGCTTGAATTATCAGTACTTTATAGTTTCTTCTTCCATCTTTACTTCAACTGAAATTCTTTAGAAAAAAGTTAACATATCTAAATCTAAGATTTGCATTTTTTAAAAATTAAAGAAATAAAAAGGAAGGGAGGGAGGAAAAAATGTTTCAGTATTGTTAATTATAATTCCTGATTGGCCTAGAGATCCCAACTATAGCCTCTATGTAAAGCATTTTTTCACCTCCCTTTTTTGTGGGGAGGAACTGAGACTAATTATATATATTATTATTCTTCCTTTCATCAAAGCATAAAAATATATATTATATAATCATAATATATCATGCAGAACTAGTATAATACATATTGAAAACAACTCTTCCTATAAAATACATGCAATAATCCATTTCTGCATTATTATTTTTTACATATATTTTGGTTAAAGAGGACACTTAAGATAAAAATCATAATTAGATGTCAAATAATGCCCAGGACCAGGTATAGTTCTAAAAACTTTGGTAAATCTGTATATATTTTATCAGTCCATGGGATTATATGAAAGTACTTATGGTGTCATCTGAGTATTTTGAGGTTAATACAATGATTTCTCTTCAGTTTCAAGGGTAAGTTCTTTCTGGAGGGAAGAAGAATCCATCAAAATAATAAAATCATTGAAATGTATATGCTGTAAGGTTTCTCTCAGTATTATTTCTCCAAATCCAAGTAAGGCCTAGCTGTTCTCTTCTTCCCCCCCCCCTTTAATTGCTGCATCTCCATGATAACTAAGCATTTAGTGTTGTTCTTTGCAGAGTATTAAATAATAAAATTTTCACTTCATTCACATTTGGCATAAACATTGGGCTTTCCCATAAGGTAAAAAAAAAAAAAAAAATGCAGCAAGACTGTAGGAAAAAAAAAATAATGAATTTTGATTGCAAAGAGGATTTTCCTAGAATTCTATAGCATCTGGTATTTAAACTATTTCTGTGAAATGTCTCCATTAATGCTTAGGAAGAGGGAGTGGACACCATCAAGAAGAAAAAAGTTAAAAAATTTAATCATTAACCATTCACAAATGACATTGAATATCTAGATATCAACAAAGAGTCAGGTGGAGAAGAAGAAATTAAAAGAAGCAATCTTATGAATTCAGGCTGTGGGCAGAGGATATTCCAATAAATCTTGAAAAAGCAGTTGCAACAAACTCTCAAGTGTAAGTCATCCAAATATGAATTGGAATTGCTGTAAAATAAACAATGTTGCAGGGCAGGTTGCAGGAGGAAGGAAGTCCCTGCAAGAGAGAAATGCTCAAATAAATTCCCGTCAAAGTTTTTTTTGTTTTTTTTTTAATTTTTTTAAGTAAGCATAAATAATATTATGTGAAGGGCTTCTAGTCTTAAACTGCCTCTTTCCAGAGCCCAGGAGAAGGGTTCCGAAGCTCTTTTCATCAGTTACTAGTGAATAATCTCAGGGATTTCTGAGAATGAACAAACGGACTCCATGTAGATCGTATGGAGTTAGCCCACCTCACTGCTTTGCGCCTTGTTGTTTGTTATTCTGAGGACATTATGGCCTTACACAACCTGCTTGTTTGTAGTACAGGGTGCTTTAAGACCACAAAATCATTGCTATAGTCTTTCTTAAGCTTTTACTCCATCCATTCACCTAAAATGTGATTTTTGGAATGCTGTTCTAAGCCAGTCAACACCATTCCTCTCGTGGGCAGCATGGCCTGCTGTTCTGGTTTCATATGCACCCAGCATAAACACAAATTTGATACACTGGTAAATACAGAACACCAGATTGTGTAAAGTCGTCATGGAGTTGGCACAACATAAGGTGGTTCCATGGATTTGTAGAGTAAGCATCGTTAAAGGACTTCGAAGGGTTTGCAACTGTCATCTCATCTATTGCCACAGTGTAAGCTTTCAGGTAGCATCACTGGCCACATTTGAGAGTTGTGACCTGCTACTAAGGATTTCTATAGCTAATGCTCTCCCCACCTCAACTGATTATTAGTGTTGTCATTGCCATTATTATTATCATTAGGAAACAGAAGAAATGATGGTTAAGAACACATACCCAGGGGTATGACTTCCTGGCTCCACCATTTGCTTTGAGATTTTTGGGAAAGTTGGTTGGTCACTCTTGCTTTAGTTCCAAAGTCTATGAAATGGAGGTAATAATAGTACTCACCTCATAGTTTTGTGGTAAGTATTAAATGTGATAATACAAGTGGATGGCTCAGAGAAGCATCTGGCACGTAGTAAGAACTTAATAGATGTTCACTCTTACTGTCACTGTTATTTCACTACGGCACCCCATACCTAACAGTGTTCTAACCTTAGAAACATTTGTGCTGGTTTATGCTAATATTCTCCTTTGCACATAAGATGGCTTTTTTCTTATTGATGCTTTATGAAAACAGTTTTGAGGGAATATAAGGTGTTTCTTCAAATAATAGGGCTTTGAGATACAAAATTCATAACCACACTTAACGGAATTTCAATGTCTATGCACCAGAGAGAGACAGGAACTGATCATTAGCATTTTCAATAGAACAAGGCATCTTGGAAAAACAGTTTTAATCTATTCATACAATGAATGTATTCATACATTCTGATCAGTTGCTTTTATGAGCAAGAAACACTTTGCTCTAACTTCATTCTCCTTTTATCAAAACATAAAAAATAGTTAATCATTAGAGGTTTTAATTTAGTGATCTCTGATAGATTCTTATGATGCATAGCAGTAGTATATTAGTGATGAATTAATTTCGTATAACAATTGAGATATTAGGATTCCTCTATTATCTCATAAATTACTTTCACGCATTGTTTATTATACCTTGTGCTTCTCTTTCTCTTTCCCAATCTGTTT